AAAAAATATATAAATATATACACCATGAACTAGCAAAAGAAAGAAAAAAATCAATAATACAGGTAGTTTTCTTCTCACTCCCCCTGCTCCCACTTAAAAACAATCAAACAAAAAACCAAAAAACCCTCCCAACTCTAAATAATTCTAGTACCCATAAACTCAAAAACAAACCATTACAATTATGTTGCTTAGAACAAAGACCCTTCTTAAGAAAAAGGATAAAAAAGAGGAGCGCATAATCAATCAAATACCAACTTTTCAGAGCAAAATTTGATTTTCAAATTTTAAAAATATAATTTAATATTTAAAGACAAATTCTCTTTATTTTGAAGTACAACTATTACCTTGTAGTTTATAAATCCTGCCATATTCTTAATTTCCAGAATGTTAGTTTCATGGGCTCTCAATTCATGTACAAGATTATAGGCGGTCCTGTAATTCCTAATATAAATATGAGGAGAGTAGTTAATTATGATTTAAATTAATTTAAGAAAAGATTTCTAAGAACAAAATTATTATAAATAAGAAACAATATTTACTCAACATTTCTTAGCCCATAACAGCTCAATAGCAACATATACAAGGGTACTTCAAAAAGTTCATGGAAAAATAGAATTAATATGAATCTTTCCATGAACTTTTTGAAGTATCCTCATAAACAGCAATCTCCAATTTCCTGAAAAATTATCTATTGATTAATAATATATGTGGAAGGAATCAATGACAAAACAGAACCATCACATGGGCATTGTTCTGTCATTAACATCTGTCAATAACCAATAAAAAACAAGCTCAAAAATAAAAGAAAATCAGACAATTGTCCAGAATTACATTGAAAAATTAGCACTTTGTTACAAAAATTAAGTATTTTTTTTAAAGTACCATTACAAGCTTCTCAAACATATAGAAATTGTATTAGCAAAGGTGACATCAACACAGAGCACACAGGTCAACTTTTTAGCCCAAAGTTCCTCTACAAGGTAAGTGGATATCACTGGTCTCACGTACAGACTGGAAAGTACAGAAAAACATCCTTAGAATGGGACCTATCCTGAAGTGAAAGGTAATGATAAAAACCTCAAAACAGCCTTCTGCACAGAAAAAAGTTCATTCTTAACTTCTCCAGGTAAATTTCTCTCTTTCCAGAATTATTTATGAACAGAGCTGGAAATGAAAGGTTTTTAACTAATACCATCGATAAAAATGAACTACA